TGAAGACAGGTATCAAGTCCGCATTGTATTTAGACAATTTGGGGCCTAGCGAGTTTGGGATGAGGGTGGGGGGGGGGTTGTCTACAAGGTCAGCCCTCGTTGCCTTGAGGAACACATTTCAGTCTAATTCGCTTAAAGGGGGTAAGTGGGGCATAACTTCACTTAGCAAATTAAAAAAAAGGGAGAAAATTAAAACTGAATGGACGAGTACCAAAAAAAAAGCCTTGGAGCCAAGGTCCTCATAAGTCGGCGTGATGGATTTGGGGTGGGTGTCCTTGGAAGAAAGGCACCTTATGTCCCGAGCTCCTCTTTAAGAGCAAGTTGCCATTTTGCCTGTGTCTTGCTGACGAGTGCTCCATCCGTGTTTTTTTTTAAATAACTTAAGAGTGTCCAATTATGTTTTTCTAATATTTCTCCCCATGGATACACACCTCTGCCCTCCTGGTATAGCTCTTGTTGAGTTGTGTCTGAGACAAGAACCAGCAAATTGGTCCTTAAGCCACAGCTCTATCCACTACACTATTAGGGTGGGCTGAGCAGTTTTTCATCCAGTGTTATTTGTCAGGTCACCTGTGTCCTACGATTTTACACAACTCCCGAAAGGAAAATCAATGGCAAATGTCAGAGAAACCAAAGCACGAAGAGTTCAACACACCATGATATTAGCGCCACCTTCTGTTATTTCCACTAAAATCATTTACAAGGTCAGCCGAACAGTTTACCACTACTTGCTGCAGTGGCACGAAAAAGAGTTCAATATTACCTGCCTGGCAACTAACCCAAGCGAACTGCTAAACGAACAAATAAAAAGCCAAATACACTATCAGCAATCGGTCTATGTCTTATCACTTAACCCACACCACTGATTGGCCAATTCACTCAATCCATGACTGCTTGTGGGACACTGCTGTGCGAAATTGGCTGCCGTGTGTCACCCACAAAATATAGTTTACAGTATATTCTGTGAAGCGCATTGAGACGTCCCAAAGACGTGATAAGGCGCTATATCTAATGCAAGGATTGCTTTAATGTTTCTCGTGCTTTATCGTTTTTGTTTCATATTTCCAACATTCTCATTCTCAGTTTTTGTCTTTTATCTCCACCTTGTGCCAGTCCATGTATGTGTGTTGTGTGAATACTCTTGAGGATTATTCTTTGCTCATCATTAAATTTATGGCTCGAATTGCTTCACCTCAGAGGCAGAGAGGCCACTGTAGTGAAAGGGTCAGCCAATGTATGAACTGAGTTTGAAAGAATAGACTGGAGGCACAAGTCAGTCTTTTACTGTGAGCACTGGAAATTATTACAGGAGAATAATATATTCTGTGAAATAAGCTGTGCAGCTGTAATGGAAACAATCACTACAATAGACAAAGGGGTTCCTGAGAAGGGCTTTGAGTTGTTCGACATTGTAGGCACTATAAAAATGCAAGTTCTTCTTTGATAACTATAAATATATTCACTACTGTACAGTGCTCTGAAGTACTTCATGTGAATAAACTCCTGTGGGAAGGCCTTCAAAACAGCTACCTTCACAAACCTCTGAATGGAAACATCCCAGAGCAGAATGATTGAGGGTAACTCGGTACTCATCAGAGCAGTGAACAGACTGACTGAAACAAACCTGTCCAATTGTATAACATTTTACAGTACAAACACACTATTAAAGGCCAACAGAGTGGCGTATTTTGCCCTTAGCAGTGAGTTTGTAATTCCCACTACCATCAGTTTCAAATGAAAAGACATCCAGACATTGCCCTCATGAATGAGCTATCGATAAGGTGAAGTGCAACAGTACAGCATAACATGAGCTGCTGGTGACACAATGACACTGCGCTTGGTTCAACTGAACAAGCACTCTCCCTCCACAAGGCTCGGGGATGTTGAGGGGGACAAAGTGATCGTGGAGAAGGCACGTACGTGCTTCTTGTGGCTGGCATATCTCGTCTGCAAGGCTTCAAGATGTTTCAGCAGATTCCATAAAGATGCACTGCAGCCAGTGGATCCTCTTGCCTACCCTCCCTTGGCAGATGTTTGTCAGTGACAAATCCTTGTCATTGCCAGCAGTTTCTGAGCCTCCTGACATATCCATGTGTAGTCTCTGAGCTCTGAGGTGGATGGAGTGTAGCTAGAAAACGACACTCATCTGAGAGAACACAAAAAAGGGAGTTTTAACTGTGAAACAGGTGACTACAGCCACAGAAACAATTTCTGAAGCAACTAGAAAAGTAGATGTGTTGCAACTATGCCCTAAAGTTTAGTGTAGAATTTGTAAGTGTATTAGAGACTTCAAAAACATTTTTGGGTGTACGTTTATACAATCAATTTATATATAAGGTTTTTTTCTCTGAAAAGAGAACATGTAATTTAAACTTACCAGAAATGCGAGATTCAAGAGTAGATGCTTCACTTTTGGATTCAATCCGGAATTTCAAAATCGATATTTCCGTCCACGTTAGACGTCCCATAGCTTTCTGACCACTGTAATTGTAATTTCAGGCCATTGACTCTTCCAGGCTCTGTTGGTAGCACTCTCACCTCATTGGGAACTTTGAACTCACGGTTCACATAATGCAATATACATTGGAAGTGCTGACCAGCAAACTCATTTATAAGGCAGGTTAGAATCTTTTGCAGGATTCTGTGCAGCATACTATTCTCTATAATACAGTAAATTCCTGATAACTTGACCCCGGCTTAATTTGTCACCATCCCTCAAGTCATCATTCTGTCTATATCCCGGCCATATTTATTTGTGGATTTTTACATATGCCTAACTCGCCTCTCCTGATAACTCATCACTAGGCCTTTTCCTTTGGAGTGGTGAGTTATCAGGAGTTTATAACACAATATACAGTCCACTATTCTCTAACATACAGAGTCTTCTGATCTCTATGACATACACAGGGTTTGATGTTTTAATCCTTGCAGTTAATATACAACAACAACAAAATTTGTATAGCGCCTTTCATGTTGGGAGGACGTCCCAAGCTGGGGGTTGGGATTGCGGAGGGTGGAGTCCAAGGGGGAAAGGAGGGTGATCAAAAGCACTTTTATAGTGCTTTTATCACATTGTTGAAAGATCTCAAAGCGCTTCACAGGATTTACTGTTAAGTGTAATGCCTGTGCATTCGCAAGCGAACATGGCAGCCAATTTGCACGTAGCAATATCCCACAAAAAGCATTAAAATAAATTGTCATTTTTATTTGAGAGGGGTAATTGTTGGCCACAGCACCAGGAGAAAGCCTTTCCTTTTTAAATATTGCCATGGAATCTTTAACAAGCAGATGATATCTGGTTCAAAGATTCATCCGAAGTACGGCACTTCCAACGGTGCAAAGCTCCCCCAACATTGTACTGTGTCTGCCTAAACAATGAGCTCAAAGTCCCACCGTGAGACATGGAACATGAACCAACATTCTTCTGACCCAGAGGCAAGAGTACTACCAACTGAACTAGGCTGACGTCTGATATTTTCTTTAAAATACACAGAGCGTGATATTCTCTATGTATACAGTCTAATATTCTCTATAGTATACACAGAATCTGATATTCTCTATGATATACAGTAAAACTTACATAAGTCTTATCTTTATAAATTGTAAAATCACAAGTCGTGCATTCACCTGAGTCCCATTCAGTTTCCTATCAAAACTACTTACATTTATTTGCACTACTTGTTTTATTCACCTCCTAACTCATCTGCTGCTGCTCCCCTATCTCCATTACTTACGCACTTACCAGCTGCATCGAATCACGGGAAATGACGTCCTGACCGTTGATGTATTCTCACTTTCCAGCCGGCTACATTGAAGCGCGGGAATTGCAGTCTTGACCCATCGACACATGCGCAGAAGAACTTCATTTCCCGCGTCAATGCAATTCCAATGCTTGCCGGCAAGTTGACCATGTGGTGATAGGTCAAGATGCATTGAATCGCAGGAAGCTTAGTTTTGATCTGTCACCACATGCACACTCACCAGCTGCGTTCAATTATACATGGGTAGTGTAAATTATTGATTAAATTTGCTTTTATACGACTTAGTTTTCAACTTGTATTTCACATAAGTCATATTAAATTAAATTAAGTCCCGAATGATAATACTAATCCTTGCATTCGATATAGCGCTTTTCACATCTTCTAGATGTCTCGCAGCAGTTCACAGAATATACCGTAAAGCAAATTGATTGTGGGCGAAACACAGCAGCCAATTGCACACAGCAGTGTCCCACAAACAGTTGTGGAATAAAGTGACCATTTACTATTAGGTTTTTTTATTGAGGGATTATTATCAGGTTTGTGGAGTAAGGAAACTTGCCCAATGTTTCGCCCTGCCTGGAACCCAGGTCTCTCGCTTGCAAGGCGAGTGCTCTAACCACTGAGCTACAGGACTCCACAACTTATATGAGTTTTATTGTATATAGTCTGAAATAATCTCTATAATATGCAAAGAATCTGATACTCTCTCATGTACAGAGTCTAATATTCTCCATAAGTTACAGATGCTAGGTCTCATAATATCCACAGGATATGCTTGTCTGTGTAATATAAGGGTCTGATATTTTCTAAATATACAAACTGAGTCTGAGCCTGGAGAAGGTCATAAAAGGAGGAAGCTGAGCATGTACAGGGATTTGTAGGTAAAAGTGAGGATCTTGAAATTGATCTGCTGGGAAATTGAGGGCGATGAAGTTTAATAATAATAATCCTTGCTTTTGCATTTCACAGAGCGCCTTATCGTGTCAATGAGATGTCTCAAAGTGCTTCACAGAACATACTATAAAGTGAATTGACTGTATATTTTGTGGATGAAACATGGCAGCCAATTGTGCACAGCAGTGTCACACAAACAGTCGTGGATTTTAGTGAGCAATTTTTTTTGATGTGTTGTACCTAATAATAATTAATTAAACAATTGTGCATAAGACTCTTTAAAATTGTTGGGGCAAAAACAAATCATAGCTGTAAAGAGGGGCAAGGATATAACAAGCATCTTACCTTCTCGTCACTTTCATTTCTCTGAAAATCAAAGCAAGTGACAAAGTAAATCCTTTTGCTCTCAATATACAGTGCACTGTACATGGACGGGTAAGCTTATGGGATGCACCAGCTAAACCCAACATGAAAACATGTTGGGTTTAGCTGGTACGTAAAAAGGAGATAATTATTGGGGTCAATCTGCAACAAATGGATTAGGTTTAAACCACAAATGAGAGACGGTCAGTAGTGGGACATCCTCCCGACGTGAAAGGCGCTATACAAACATAATTTTGTTGTTGTTGTTGTAGTACTCAAGGCTGCATGACTTGTTTATTAAATGTAGCGAGATCAATGGCAATACCCCAACGCACAGTCTACAGTCCCCAAAGCTTGGTTCTTGCCAACATGCGTCTAATGCTTTAATGCTTTCCAGTATTAGGAAAGCAGGATGTGTCCCTCCAGGGAGAGAGTGCGCATTCCATTCCAACAATCCATCTCTGGGATTTCCATGTGTTGGTGCAATTCATGGAATTCACAGTTTGGTTTGGATACTCTTAAGGATGGTGATGGGTTTCCGCAGGTGTCAGACACTTGGCTGACTAAAATTAATATACTTGTGTTTCTGCATCAAATAAACATTCAGTCCTGTAACAAGGTTAGGATAACTGGTCAGTGCTCCAGGACCCTGTCCCAATAAGTTCTGGGACATCAGCTGATGGTTAGTCAGCTGTCCATACCAAACATATCTAATCTGCGCGTGTGAAAGAGAGAGAGGGAGAAAAGAGAGAGGGAGTGGGGGGGAAGAGAGAGTTCATGTGTGTGTATGCGATAGTCGGAAAGAGAGACATTACATGTGGTGTGCTCAAGAGCTTATGTATGTGTGTGTGGGGGGGGGGGGAGGGGAGGGGAAGAGTTCATGTGTGTGAGAGAGGGGAGAGAGAGTGCTCTATTCCAAGACATTTTGACCCCATTTTCCTTTAAACTGGGGAACAATTCCACTGTTGCCCTCCAGCACCTGGCCCGAGTATACTTAACGTGAAACAATGGGGTGCACAGCAAATCCTACCTGCCACTGGTTTGTTGTCTGACCAGTCACCATGGACGCTGAAAGCCCCCGAAGGCTGTTTTTCACAGTTGTCCCTCCCAGTGTGGAGCCCACGTCAGAAGCAGGCGAGTCTGCTGCCACTGCCATCTGGTACTGTGGATAGTTGTAAAGGTTGTTGTAATAAGCTGGGTACAGAGATGGCTGATAAAAGTTGCTGTAGTAGGAAGAGTCCACTACCAGGTCCGGGGTGGCTTCCAGGTGCCCTCTGCTGGTTATAGATGGAATGTCCTGAAGATGCAAGCGCCCCTCTGCAAAACAGAAGACAACAGGGTGTCAAAGGCATTCAATTCACTGTGACTACAGAACAGGGTGTCAAAGGCATTCGCTGTGACAATGCACCAGTCTTTTAAATACACCTTCAAGCAACAGTGAAGGCAAAGGTGTTGAAGAAGTTACGCTCCAGGAACACGGCAGTGGGGTGTATAGCACTTTGAGATATCCTCCCCAATGTGAAAGTTGCTCTATAAAACTAAACTATATTATAAAGAGTTTCAGTACTTAAAATTATTTAAAATATTTTCAAATATTTTAGTTGTAATAATAATCCTTGCATTTGATATAGTGCCTTATCACGTCTTCGAGACGTCACTGGCTGATTCGATGAATTGAAGGCCTCCTTTCTCTCTCACCAACTACAACAACAATAGCCGGGCTCATCGGCAGGTCCTGGAAGGGCAGACAAGTCACTGGGAGAAGGGAATCTTCACACTCAGCTCCTGTTAACCCTAAGCTTCTGTTAACCCTACAAGCCAAAGCCCTAACAGATAAGAGTGGTCCAAACTAGACAAGCAGCCGGAAAGCTTGCCTGAGAGCAATATCAATGGCAAGGATTGTGGTTTTAGCTGGTTAGACTCCAGCAGTTACGCCAAAGCACACTCTGGCGTACCCAAGCCTTGGCTCTTGCCAACCTGCGCCTAATATTTTCCAGAATTAGATGAACAGGATGAGTCCCTCCAGGGAGAGAGTGCACATTCCATTCCAACAATCTATCTCTGGGATTTTTATGTTGAGGTGGGATGGAATTTTCAAGATTGGTTTGGATGCTCTTAAGCATGGTGATGGATTTCCACGTGTGTCAGACACCCGGCTGACCAAAAAGAACAGGTTTCTACATTTATCTCTAAGACCAGCCACCAGGGGTGCAGAAGAGCGGCCTAGGGCCAGTCTCCCTCTGGCCTTCCCTCCTGCTAGCAATACTTTACTCTCCACTCACAACCTCCCTCGCCTCGTTTGTAGCTGTTGCGATGTTTCAACGTTCATCTACAAAACACACGGTCACTACAGTATGTACGGCAAGCGCTTTGCAATGTCATCCCAAAATTAAATATGCTTTATCAAGTGCAAGGATTATTATTACAAATGACATGGGAGGGAGCAGGAGAGGTGAAGATGGTGGACTGGAAGGAGGTAGGGGAATGCGAGGGGAGGGAGAGAAGAGAAGGTGTTTTCACCCCACCTCCACGAGATGGAAAGCCAAGCTTGAGGCCAGATTCCCATTATTTTCAGGCAATGGGAAGGCTGATTTCTCGGCCAAGTCACACAGTCTGCCAACACAGCGCTCCCCCAACACTGTACTAGAGCATCAGCCTCAACTGTGAGCTCAAAATCCTAACATGTGGCTTGAACCCACATCCTTCTGACAAAGATCATCCTGACCTCTGCAGCTCAAGTCCTCTCTGGCCCGAGGCTCCGTGACCCCATCACCTCCACTGCCAGCCCCACTGGCTCCCTATCCTCCAGAGGATAGAGTTCAAAATCCTCATCCTCACCTTCAACACCTTCCACTGCCTTGCTCCTCCCTACCTCTGCAACCTGCTGACCCCATATCAGCCTGTTAGCTTCCTCCGCTCAGCAGGTTCTGGCCTGCTCCATATTCACTGTCCGGCCCACTTCACCATCGGCGGCCGGGCCTTAAGCCTTACTGCCCCCACCCTATGAACTCTATCCCACATTCCCTTCACCTCGCACCCTCCATTGCCTCCTTCGATGCGCCTCTCAAAATCCGAGCTTTTAGCCACCTTCCTACCCTCCCCGATCCACAGCTTGTGTCCAAGTCCCTGACTGTCCAGGGCCTTAGGATGTCCTTCCAACCGAAAGGCGCTATATAAATATAATTTATATTGTAAGTGTCGAGAGTGCTATCAACTGAGCCAGGCTTACATTAGTGCCAGTTCAAGGGCGTTTTGAAAGGGTATCTCCTCTCTCCTCCCTCCACAGCCCCCCCACCCCCAACACATTCCCACTCCGGAAGAACCAAATATTACTGCTGACGTAGTACATCCTGATAACATCGCCTGTGAGTAAGGCTCTGGAATGTTGTACCGTGTGAGTGAGGTTATCACTGAGAAATGCTGTACAGTCCGGAAGCGATTCGCTAACAGTTTGTACTTCATACGGTTTGTGATCCTTGATTTCAATTCCTTTCACTTTCCTCCCCACATCCCAAAAGCAGGCTGTTTCACAACAGAATAAAAAGAGTACAAGAGTTAAATGGCGCTGGAAGATACAAAAAAAAGATATGAAAACTGGTGCAAGAAACTCATTCAATCAATATTCTTATCCGAATAAACTTTAGAGACATCTCAATGACGTGATAAGGCGTTTTTATCAAATGCAAGTATTATTATTATCATAAGTTGTATTTAGTCTTTTAACTCTGCACATAAGCTTTCAATCAGACATTTCTTGTTTCTCCCAAAACAAAAAAAGACAATAAACTGCGATATTAAAACTGCATCTGCACTTGTCACTTTGTCTTAATTGTTTGTTGGCCAAAGCTGGGGCCCCTCCCCTGTTCCACTCTATCACTGCCCTGATAGCATTGTTCCTCAGCCTGGTTCATGATCCCCCGAAGCCTGCAAACAGCCTTGAATTTCACTCGTGTCATGCTATCCCCTGGACACACAATCAGAACTGAAAGAACAATTTGTTTCTCCCACAAGACAACGTGAACGAAATGACTGGTGTAAAGGACCAGTTTTGGCACTTGCCAAGATACTTCAGCTCAGCACTGATACGTTCTGAATATAAACGTGGGTTCACTCTTTGTGGCATCATTTTTTTAAAAAAAACCTCTGCATAATGTCAAAGGTAAATCTTATTAAAGTATGCAAGATCCAAAAGGGCAAAGAAAAACTAAACCTTAACAATACGTTCAACGTGGGGGGGGGAAATATAAAGCAAGGAGGACATGGACTCAAGTTCAGGTGAGGGAAGGTGTACAGAGAATTGCAAGTACGTAGAATAGACGACTTAGAGAGTTGATGGGGCTAGAGACTGTGTCAGCAAACTCAAGATGGAGTTCCAATGTTATTTAGCGAAGACATCACTTGAGGGCTGTTGGAGAGGAGGGCAGTAAGATCATTTCATTGTTTTAAAAAAAAACTTTGTGACCAGCCAGCCAGAGATATACACAATGGCCTTTTCCAATTCTATACATGGCTATGTAAGGTCCAGAATGGATCCAAGCCAAATGCTCCATTTATATTTAGCAAATGTCGGAGCAATACTTTACTCTGAAAAAGTCAGCGCTGAAAGTATCCTGTACATGGTAGAGGTTGGATGGTAGTGATGACCTCACTGTCCAGATGTAGTGATGACCTCACTGTCCAGGTGTAGTGATGACGTCACTGTCCAGGTGTAGTGATGACCTCACTGTCCCAGGTGCAGTGATGACCTCACTGTCCAGATGTAGTGATGACCTCACTGTCCAGGTGTAGTGATGACCTCACTGTCCCAGGTGTAGTGATGACCTCACTGTAATGATGACCTCACTGTCCCAGGTGTAGTGATGACCTCACTGTAATGATGACCTTACTGTCTAAGTGTAGTGATGACCTAACTGTAGTGATGACCTCACTGTCCCAGGTGTAGTGATGACCTGACTGTCCCAGGTGTAGTGATGACCTCACTGTCCCATGTGTAGTGATGACCTCGCTGTCCCAGGTGTAGTGATGACCTGACTGTCCCAGGTGTAGTGATGACCTCACTGGAGTGATGACTTCATTGTCCAGGTGTAGTGATGACCTCACTGTAGTGATGGTATCATTGTAGTGCAACTTGTTGACCCCATATCAACCTCTCCGCTCCCTCCACTCAGCAGGTTGTGGCCTGCTCCACGTCCCCCGCCTTCAAACCTCACCCTGTGGAACTCCATCCCATCGTTCCTTTGCCTCGCTCCCTCCCTTTCAAACACAGATTAGATAGTTTTCTTTTAGGAAATAATAAAATTATGGGATATAGTACATAGATAGTGTGGGACATATGTGCATGCAACCGCCAGGAAGATGTAAGGCAAACTAAATGGACTTGGTCTTTTTTATTCCTTTGACTTCTTCTATTCCCGATAGGGTGAAATGTTGGTCAAGTTTCCTTACTCCACAAGCCTCTGCTTACCTAGCAGAAGGTAAGAACATGGTTGTTAGTCGATTGGCGATTCGCTTTTCTGGGGATAATAATCCTTAAAAAAAAATGTGGTCATTCAATCCACGACTGTTTGTGGGACACTGCTGTGTGCAATTAGCTGCCGCGATTTGCCCACAAATATAGTCAATTCACTTTGCAATATATTCTGTGAAGCGCTTTGAGACGTCTCGAAGACGTGAAAAGCGCTTTATCAAATACAAGGATTATTATTATTATTATCTTTTCATCTGGCATTTCTTAGGTTCTTATGACCTCACTTCCCGGGTATGGTGATGATCTCACTGTCCCGGGTGTAGTGATGACCTCACTGTAGTGATGACCTCGCTGTCCTGGGTGTGGTGATGACCTCACTGTCCCGGGTGTGATGATGACCTCACTGTCCCGGGTGTGGTGATGGCCTCACTGTCCTGGGTGTGGTGATGACCTCACTGTCCCGGGTGTGGTGATGACCTCACTGTCCCGGGTGTAGTGATGACCTCACTGTCCCGGGTATGGTGATGACCTCACTGTCCCGGGTGTAGTGATGACCTCACTGTCCCGGGTGTGGTGATGACCTCACTGTCCCGGGTGTAGTGATGACCTCACTGTAGTGATGACCTCACTGTTCTGGGTGTGGTGATGACCTCACTGTCCCGGGTGTAGTGATGACCTCACTGTCCCGGGTGTGGTGATGACCTCACTGTCCCGGGTGTGGTGATGACCTCACTGTCCCGGGTGTAGTGATGACCTCACTGTCCCGGGTGTGGTGATGACCTCACTGTCCCGGGTGTGGTGATGGCCTCACTGTCCCAGATGTAGTGATGACCTCACTGTAGTGATGACC